GAAAACGAAATCAGACCACATTTTGGCAGGAAACGGAGACTGTGAATGCCATATTGTGGATTAACACGAATAAGTGGTCCACTTAAAAAGTGTTGCACACACCTTTATTCATGCAAGATGATCTACTGATGGTAGATCAGTAGTTGACTTTTTACGCAATCAGTCGACTTGGCCTCACGTTTTCAGTGCATTTCACATAAACTTGCAGCAACCGCCTGAGGCTCTTGTAATAGAGACCACTTGTGAGCATGACTCATCCGCACAATTCTGTCGTGACGATCAATCAAGTCTTGCCACTGCGTCGAGTCTACCTCTGAGCCTATCAGATCGTGACCCTCTGAGCCAATCAGAAGCCAGCATTCAAATCACGCAAATTTGAACTTGGCGACTTCTCCAGGGCCCTGCCTCATTTGAGGCGGCCGGCGTTCGCCATCGTTCGCCGTCATTACGCGCCGAATTCCAGCGTCGCTTCGGTTTGCTGAGCTCTCTCTTGCATCACAGGTCCGCCCCATGATCTGACCGCGCAAGGTCTCGACACTCGTCTCCTCTACGGCCTGGAGCTGCTCACTCTGACAACGTCGCAGCGCCAGTCTAGCAGCTATCCTTCTGTATGTCTAACGCACGCATCTTCACATGCTTTCCCCAGTCTGTGCCGTAATCTTGTACGCCGATCCTTCCCTCTTCTACCTTCGTGAAGGTGCACGTCAGTCGGGCCTCTGTTTTCTTGTGCCTGAGGCCACCGGACAACTTTTGCTCCACCGTAGCCATGCCACCTTGCGGCAGGGCGACATCAAATACACGCCTCCTGTCCGCGTAGAGTCTCCGTAGTGTCCTATCCATTGACTTCTTCACGTTGGCAAGGCAACTCCAGTAAGCTATTTTGGTTATATCACTCCAGCGCAATCTTCTCCATCATTCCTCCTGCCTCTTGAGCCTTTTTCATCAACGCACCTACGATCATATAGCTTTGTATAACTTGCGATCTTGATACAATCGCAACTCCACATCCTCAAGTCTGCTAATCTCTATTAGGTCACAGGACGGATCTCAAGGCCTAGCTAGCAGCAAACATGGAATCGTCAATCATAACAAGCATAAGTAGTAATAACAAATACAACTTTGCTTCATTGATGAGAAAGGCCTGT